ATAAAACTGTCACGCTCGCCTAAGGGGTTGCACTCGAAGCTCATTCCGTAGAGAATTGCTCTTGTCCGCGCTCTGGTGAAGGTTCTGTTGTTGGGGCTGGCTACACCATCTGCGGTTGGAATGCAGATCGTAGTGTCCGTTCGGGTTGGTAAAACATTTCTAGCAGGGACACTGGTGACAACCATGGGTGATGTGGGGACCGCTGAGGACCGTTTTAATTTTAACTACACACGTATAAGTTGACGAGTGAGTAAAATGGATGAATCGGCAGTTTTGCAGCTTTTCACGGCGAGTATGCACAAAAGTGTTACAAAACACTCTCTAAAAGCCTTGTTTGGTTTATGGAACAACGACGGAGGCCTCAACATACGTAATGTTGGACATGTGGGGAACAGAGACCATGTATCCGTATGGTGTGTAGAGTACAATTCAATGTCTGAAAGCATCTGATTTGTCAGATGCAATTCCCTAGTTTGAAATCTGTCCCCGTGGGTTTTTTCAGATGACTGTTTTTCGTATGTTTTTTTTGTGTACCATCGGTAGGGCATTACCCTCACTTGTTTGCGAACTCGTGATATCCTGGCTATTTAACAGTTTATGAACACAAGCTGATATATGTCGGATTGTCCAGTTGACTTGACTCAAATTGGATTGGAAGTCATTTGCATCAAAGGCAAAGATCAGTTATACACTTCCCATCAAAAGTTTAGACTCACTAGTGTAAATATAGCCACTTACTCCAGGCAACTGTTCTAAACAAAAGCTTGCAAAATATTCCTTACTGTTTACACATGAACTGATGTATTGTAAAATAACTTCGTAACGTTGAAAAGATTATTGTCATGAGTTCAATAAATGATAAAAATCAGTGAACATTGCCGAATTCTTAACAAAACTTTACAGCAAAACGCAGCTGTTCACATACACAATATTTGCACATGCTTTTCAGCAATTTGATGCATGATCCTCGTACAATTCACCTGCATAAGGTTTGCAGTTGGTTCCCCAAGTTAGTGGAGAAATCAATCTTCGATGTAACCATATATATATACACATAACATATAGTGAGTGTTTTGTGTTCTTGATTCCGTCGATAGTGTCACTATATGAATTATGTTTGTGTTAAGCGTATAAATATTTATATTTATGCATTGCTAGTAAGGTCAAAATCTCATATCTCTCCCTGGAATCAAACGTCTGTTTGCACCGAACCCATGCTCACACCTTTCGTCAAAGTCATAAGCCACTTGCATCACAACGCCTACATTAAGTATAACCAATAGGTTGTTCAACGTGTTCTATGAAAATATAATCTTTTCTTTTCATTTTTGACAAGTACCTTTTTAACTATCAGAAAATGAGCATTAGTACGCAAAGGTTCATGAGGAAACATCTACGAACTTCAGACACGCTCAACTAGAACTTTTGTCCTGCAGGGCTCGTTTCACAAAGTTATCGTAGGGCTACGACTGTCGTAAGTCTATGTAAGGGAGTTTCGATAACCTCAGCGCTACGATCGCTTTGTGAAACAGGGCCTAGATTTTCGAAGATCTCTTAGCGCTAAGATATAGTCGTAACTGCCATACATTAACATAAACGACGATCTTAGCGCTAAGAGAGCTTTGAAAATCTAGGCCCAGGGCCCTGCAGAGTGATCCTGCGCTAATGTGATCGTAACTCCCATACCATAGACTTACGACAGTTTTAGCATTAAGGTTGTTTTGTACAACGGTACACAGGATCCGCTTGGACAAAGCGATCTTAGTCCTAAGGTGTTCGTAACTCCTGCACGTTAACATAGGCTTGCGACTGTTGTATCACTAAGATCGCTTTGTGCAAGTGGATGTAGATACTGACCATTTCGTGTATGCAACTATTTACAAGAGAAACGGCAATATGTTTTGATTAATATCAAACAATATTTTATTTCCATGGTAATGACAAAAATCACTTGAGATGCAAATATAACAAAAGTTGTAGAAAAATATAACAATTTATTGATTTTCAAACTGAAAATACAAACATGTGAATTTATTGATTTCCAAACTGAAAGGCAACGTTGTGAATCGTCTTCACACAGGGTTACCGATTAAAACGAGGACATGTAAAACAATGTGCCAGAATGTTAGATTATCAATGAGACTCTACGCGTAATTGGACGTTTTCCATAATGAGTGAGTGAGTCACCATAACTGTGACATGGTTGTAAAGCTAACTTAATACCTACACAGAAATTTACAATAAGTGAGTGAGTATGGTTTTACACCGCTTTTAGCAATATTCCAGCATTATCACGGCGAGGGACACCAGAAATGGGCTTCCCACATTGCACCTATGTACCCGGGGCTTCGGCATGATGAGCGAACGGTATGATCACAAGGCTAACCCACCACCCCAGTTTTCCGTGATAGATTCACAATCCATTCCAGAAACATGCGTGGGTGCATATATAAGATTCAGCCTTACTGAATGAATGATATGTTAATGATATTTCAACAGGTTGTAAATAATCCAGCCGTGATAAGGGAAACACTGGTTGACTGCTTATAAACGAAGCTCGCTGTTGGAGCATGATGCCACTCGATCAGCCTGTCCATAAAGTGGTACGTTTTATTTCCAGCTCACGGCCCTCATAATCTGTCCAAGATTCCCCACAGGGTTTGTGCATCGTATTGGCGACTTGATGTTCCACATTGTAGCATTAGCTACGTAAGATTAGCTACGTAAGACAGATTGCTATATTCTGTTTTCATAATTCACGAAGCAATATCATGAAACGTAGATTGCTTAAACTGGGAAAAATTCTCCCCAAATGTTTTCATAATTCACGACATGATTGTTCTTGTAGATGATGATATCATGATATTGTTCTTGTAGATGATGACATCATGATATTGTTCTTGTAGATGATGATATGTTACTTGTAGATGATGATATCATGATATTGTACTTGTAGATGATGATATCATGATATTGTTCTTGTTGATGATGATATCATGATATTGTTCTGTGATGATGATGATCATGATAGATGATGATATCTTGTAGATGATGATATTGTTGATGACTTGATGATGATGACATGATATCTTGTTGATATTGTAGATGATGATATTGTGTTCTTGATGATGATGATATCATGATATTGTACTTGTAGATGATGATATCATGATATTGTGACTTGTGTTCTTGTTGATGATGATATCATGATATTGTACTTGTAGATGATGATATCATGATATTGTATCATGATATTGTGCTTGTAGATGATGATATCATGATATTGTACTTGTAGATGATGCCATCATGATATCATGATATTGTATCATGATATTGTTGATATCATGATATTGTACTTGTAGATGATGACATCATGATATTGTACTTGTAGATGATGCTATCATGATATTGTTCCTGTAGATGATGCCATCATGATATTGTTCTAGCAGCAGCTATAGTTACTAAAGTATAAGTCAGAGAAATCATTCGAATCCATTGATTTCAAAACTAGAATAAAAACGACACTTTTTGGATTCTTGATTTTTTTCTGCAAAATCATTTCCCTTTACAGGATGTTGTAGTCACTTTTAATACTGAACATGCATCAAATGAATTGAAGAAGATTTAGTACAGACATGTGGTTATAATAGAGTTGGAAGATCAAAGTATCCTCGATAATCGGTTGCTATGCATGTCAGTGTTCTAGGGTTTTGACGGTGTGACCAGTTCCACCCACGGACTTGGGTGGTCAAAGTTTTGCGATTTGTGGTTCCAAGTTAAAGTGAGTGAGTGAATTTAGTTTACGCCGTTCTTAGCAATATTCCAGCCTTAATACGGCGAGGGATACCAGAAGTGGGCTTCACACACTGTATCCATGTGGGGAATCGAACTCGCATTTTCGGCGTGACGAGCGAACGCTGTAACCACCAGGCTACCCCGCCGCCCAAGTTAAAAATTATTTCGGGTTTTATCATTAGTTTGTACAACTAGATCATGGATGTATTAATGTATGTAATCCTTATTTTGTGGTGCTTCCTGACACAATAATAACCTTACGACTGCGATAACTGAAAGACGAAATATGCGATAACTTAGTGCTTAACAAAAGAAACTCAGTAACATAATTACAATGTTATACCTGTGCCCAGATTAGTTGACAATCTCCATAACAGTGAGTGAACAAGCATTGCTTTTACGCCTCTTTCGGCAATATTGCAGGAATATAACCGCGGGAGATATCAGAAAGAGGTTCACACATCGTACCTGTGACGAGCGAAAGCTTGAATCAAATATCTACCCCACCGCTCCGTGAAAATTGACAATTGGTGTATAACTTACAAACTCCATTAATGTTAACGAGAAGTTGGTTATCGTAACGTCATTTCCTTAGTAAACTTCCGGTTCCGGCTCCCATTTAAGAAGATATGTTCCCCTGTCCTTCATTACAGGACAGATTGCCAGGATGGTGTCCACCACCATCTTCTTCAGGGCACAGTGCACCATGAGTGACGTCAACCGTTTACACCTGGTGCACAAATTTATAAGGTTGTCGCCGAGTTCCTCATAGTACTCAGTCTGAAGAACCACCTTCTCCAGAGTCTTGCTGTACACGCGGGCAGCCAGGTCTACCTCATCTTTGAAGATGCAGTTACTGATCTCGAATCGAAGCTCTCTGACTGGTAATTCCGGCTTCATTATTACAGAAATCTTATGCAAAGGACACGTTTCAGTAAAAATCAAGCCTACTCTAAGATTCGGACACTTGGAGGTGAGATTACTCCAAGCTTCAGAAGACAGGTCTCCTATATATGCCTGTTCCCATCGACATGTGATGCCAAGATACCCCAGCGGAACACGGTCTGATTGAGCTAAAGATTCCAGAACCTGGTCAGTCAGGCTGCAATGAAACAGTGCTAGATGCTTTAAGCCCCTGCACCTATCGACAAGTCGCTCCACACAATCAGGCGGTACTTTGCAGATACGAACATTATTACTGATATCTAGAAATTGCAGTAAGGATTGTTTTCCGACAATGAGTCAAAGACAGTGGTGTCATACGACACTGCCAGACCACTAAGCTGCACGTGTTTTAATTGCCACCGGGTAGAGTCCACGTGGCGGTCAAATAATGCTTTCAAAGCATCAACAAAATCCTGGCCATTTAAGAAGAGCGGGTTGTCTCCCGTGAACTCAATACACAACTTCATCAACTGTCTTCCCTCGGCATTGGAGAGTATATCAAGAGCTTCGCAGGCATTGCGTCTATTCTCCGTTTCATGCTGGTTTAACAGGACTCGCACAGTCCTCATGTTTTGGGCAAACTGGGCGAGCCACAGGAGAGACTTGCCGTCGCGAGGTTGCTGGAAGTTGAGGGTTGAGGTGTGCCAGAGCTGTGGGCTTCTGTAACAACGGTGCCATGTCGTGCAGGTGGTGCCCGCTCTAGCACTGTCCTCCCGGCTGAGGTAGGACAGTATTGTGATGATAGCATGATCTGGCAGGGTGTTCCATGGTATGGTGTCCATTACAGGCGCTGTAATGGGGAAAGACTAAATGTTAGTGAGTGAGTGAATCTAGTTTTACGCCACACTCACCAATATTCCAGCTATATGGCGGCGGTCTGTAAATAATCAAGTCTGGACCAGACAATCCAGATATCAACACCATTAGCATCGATCTACGCAATTGGGAACCGATGACATGTGTCGACCAAGTCAGTGAGCCTGACCACCCAATCCCGTTAGTCGCCTCTTACGACAAGCATGGGTAACTGAAGATCAATTCTAACCCGGATCTTCACGGGTAACTAAATGTTAAACAACAGGTACGATACTCAAACATGTAACTGAATAATGTGTAGTTATTGTGGTCCTTGATTATTAATGAATTCCCCATGCTACCAATCATTACATGACAGAACTACATTTGGTCGTGACGAGACAAACCCAACGTTTCTTGTAGAATATATTATTCCTATATATTTTTCATATCAGTATGATTATCAGTTAATAAAAAACTTACTGTGATTCTAACATAATATTGGTTGTCGTGTTTGAATCCACAGTGAGTGCAGTATACACGGACCACCTCCGTGGTGTAGTGGTTAGAGCGTCGGCCCGGATAACAGAAGGTCACGGGTTCGATCCCAGGGCGCGTCATACTAAATGACGTTAAAATATGTTACTTGTGCCTGCCTCTCGCTTGGCATTAATGAGTACAACAAGGACTCGTCGACTCGGAGTCTATATAATGTGTCTGAGTGGGGTATTCATGCGTAACTGCGGCATGGTATCTCAGTGGGCTAGCACTATAAAACCTGCTGAAGTCTCGGATAGTAAAAGCTGCCACACATACACACGCATGCTCGTCGTCATATGAGCGAAGTATTCTCAAATACGACGTTAAACCCCATTTCACCTCACCTCAAAATATACACCTGAAAACTGTATTTAACCAAACTTAATTAAACGTTATCCCAACGTTTTGGTGTAAAACCGCCCCTGAAACACTGCAAACTTAAAGTGCAAGACACAGATATGATACTTGGCTAAAAAAACATCACCATTCAACAACAATGTCTTGTTTCTTTCGTTAGTCACCTAAAACATGAATGTATACTCTCTTTTGCCCGGCAGTTTACTACATCTACTTATATCCCTAGATGCCACATGGAATAGTTATTTCAGGGCGTAACGTTACTGGAGTAATCTGTTTGATCGGCATGTTAGAAGTTGATGAATAATATGACACTTTATTGATGACAACTTTTTTATTGTCATTTCCTTAGTAAACTTCCGGTTCCGGCTCCCATTTAAGAAGATATGTTCCCCTGTCCTTCATTACAGGACAGATTGCCAGGATGGTGTCCACCACCATCTTCTTCAGGGCACAGTGCACCATGAGTGACGTCAACCGTTTACACCTGGTGCACAAATTTATAAGGTTGTCGCCGAGTTCCTCATAGTACTCAGTCTGAAGAACCACCTTCTCCAGAGTCTTGCTGTACACGCGGGCAGCCAGGTCTACCTCATCTTTGAAGATGCAGTTACTGATCTCGAATCGAAGCTCTCTGACTGGTAATTCCGGCTTCATTATTACAGAAATCTTATGCAAAGGACACGTTTCAGTAAAAATCAAGCCTACTCTAAGATTCGGACACTTGGAGGTGAGATTACTCCAAGCTTCAGAAGACAGGTCTCCTATATATGCCTGTTCCCATCGACATGTGATGCCAAGATACCCCAGCGGAACACGGTCTGATTGAGCTAAAGATTCCAGAACCTGGTCAGTCAGGCTGCAATGAAACAGTGCTAGATGCTTTAAGCCCCTGCACCTATCGACAAGTCGCTCCACACAATCAGGCGGTACTTTGCAGATACGAACATTATTACTGATATCTAGAAATTGCAGTAAGGGATTGTTTTCCGACAATGAGTCAAAGACAGTGGTGTCATACGACACTGCCAGACCACTAAGCTGCACGTGTTTTAATTGCCACCGGGTAGAGTCCACGTGGCGGTCAAATAATGCTTTCAAAGCATCAACAAAATCCTGGCCATTTAAGAAGAGCGGGTTGTCTCCCGTGAACTCAATACACAACTTCATCAACTGTCTTCCCTCGGCATTGGAGAGTATATCAAGAGCTTCGCAGGCATTGCGTCTATTCTCCGTTTCATGCTGGTTTAACAGGACTCGCACAGTCCTCATGTTTTGGGCAAACTGGGCGAGCCACAGGAGAGACTTGCCGTCGCGAGGTTGCTGGAAGTTGAGGGTTGAGGTGTGCCAGAGCTGTGGGCTTCTGTAACAACGGTGCCATGTCGTGCAGGTGGTGCCCGCTCTAGCACTGTCCTCCCGGCTGAGGTAGGACAGTATTGTGATGATAGCATGATCTGGCAGGGTGTTCCATGGTATGGTGTCCATTACAGGCGCTGTAATGGGGAAAGACTAAATGTTAGTGAGTGAGTGAATCTAGTTTTACGCCACACTCACCAATATTCCAGCTATATGGCGGCGGTCTGTAAATAATCAAGTCTGGACCAGACAATCCAGATATCAACACCATTAGCATCGATCTACGCAATTGGGAACCGATGACATGTGTCGACCAAGTCAGTGAGCCTGACCACCCAATCCCGTTAGTCGCCTCTGACGACAAGCATGGGTAACTGAAGATCAATTCTAACCCGGATCTTCACGGGTGACTAAATGTTAAACAACAGGTACGATACTCAAACATGTAACTAAATAATGTGTAGTTATTGTGGTCCTTGATTATTAATGAATTCCCCATGCTACCAATCATTACATGACAGAACTACATTTGGTCGTGACGAGACAAACCCAACGTTTCTTGTAGAATATATTATTCCTATATATTTTTCATATCAGTATGATTATCAGTTAATAAAAAACTTACTGTGATTCTAACATAATATTGGTTGTCGTGTTTGAATCCACAGTGAGTGCAGTATACACGGACCACCTCCGTGGTGTAGTGGTTAGAGCGTCGGCCCTGATAACAGAAGGTCACGGGTTCGATCCCAGGGCGCGTCATACTAAATGACGTTAAAATATGTTACTTGTGCCTGCCTCTCGCTTGGCATTAATGAGTACAACAAGGACTCGTCGACTCGGAGTCTATATAATGTGTCTGAGTGGGGTATTCATGCGTAACTGCGGCATGGTATCTCAGTGGGCTAGCACTATAAAACCTGCTGAAGTCTCGGATAGTAAAGCTGCCACACATACACACGCATGCTCGTCGTCATATGAGCGAAGTATTCTCAAATACGACGTTAAACCCCATTTCACCTCACCTCAAAATATACACCTGAAAACTGTATTTAACCAAACTTAATTAAACGTTATCCCAACGTTTTGGTGTAAAACCGCCCCTGAAACACTACAAACTTAAAGTGCAAGACACAGATATGATACTTGGCTAAAAAAACATCACCATTCAACAACAATGTCTTGTTTCTTTCGTTAGTCACCTAAAACATGAATGTATACTCTCTTTTGCCCGGCAGTTTACTACATCTACTTCTATCCCTAGATGCCACATGGAATAGTTATTTCAGGGCGTAACGTTAATGGAGTAATCTGTTTGATCGGCATTTTAGAAGTTGATGAATAATATGACACTTTGTTGATGACAACTTTTTTATTGTATTTTGATGCGAGATAGACCAACAAGTAATCTCTGAAATGAACAAATTTTACAGAAAAAAACTTCATAGTAAAAACAATAAAATATAATAAAACAATAAAATATAATAAAAAGGAGCCCTGAGGTGTTCTTCAGCTGTGGAAATCTAGACTTGCCACATTTTCTAGACATGCGTGGGCGTTCTTGGATATATTTGCTTCAGGGCCTAGATTTTAAAAGCTCTCTTACAGCTAAGATAGTCGTAGGTTAATGTTAATGTATGGCACTTACGACTATCTTACCGCTAAGAGATCTTCGAAAATCTAGGCCCAGGGTCTGTATGACATACTAGATGCGAGGTTTCGGTATGGACTTTTATATCGTTGTCAAGCAAGACTAGCAAGGGTCCAAACTTATATACCGAAACGTCTGTATGATAAAGAGGTTGTCATCCATAAACTATCATACCTTTCTTATTACTGGAGCAACATGCAGGCTGTGGAATTGTTCATCACACAATTTATATTTTCCATAAACATGAAATAATCTGAAGCTGCTGGTGCTGCTACAACTGATGATGATGGGGAAATACTGATAATAGCAAGTTGACCTAAAATGAAACAAACTTAGTTTAACTGAAATTAAGATGACACCCCGACTAAGAAGACTTTAGCGTTCACTTTGAAGGATGAGGACTATTTTTATCGATATACAACTTCTTTATTATGTGTAGGCGACGTTCACTTTGAATAGACGGTCCTTATATCGGTTATCTCCCTTTGTCTGTTCGCGTGTTCAACTTGCGACGGGAGGGCCTTACATCGTCAATACAATACATGCACAAGACGATATTGACTATATCCATACAAAGTCGAATTCAATTATTTGAAAGCCATTCTATGCATAATGATACAGTTTCCCTTACATGTGAACACCTGACGAACGTTACAAGGAGAAAGCATTCACTGGCCTTGTTCATTGAATAATGTAGGGCAGCACTCCGAGCCTCGCGTCCTCGGGCGGGGTCGTCTGAATGTGATAACGACGGTTGTCCGACTGTCACGAGTTACTTACTGTTATGGCTGTCTGTGTGAAAGGGGACACACACGACCTACATTATTGTTTACCCGGGTAAGGATTACTAATACTCACAGGAACAGCGTGTAAGCCTGCAATAGCCGGCAGCCTATACTTCCTCCATATATGGTCAGACAGTCTGAAGGTTAGAGCCCTAGATACTACACAATGCAGGCCGGCCTTGATTCACTTCTCCGGGCTGATTGTGACATTTTTCATGATAATCTTTCTCCACACATCGACATATAAGGGCTTGCGAAAATGGACTGACTGTGCGTCATCTGTTAATAACACATCATTTTCTATGAACAGAGTATTTGATACTTCATAATTTAATGATTATATGACTTATAAAACAGTCACAGTAAAGGAGCTATATATTTTCACTCTGACTTTAAAGGGAGTGAGTTAATATTTAACGTCACATTGGCAATATTTCAGCCATACCGTGACGAGAACAATCTATACATTAAGCCTAAATATATATACATGTACCATAAAAACCTGTGGTGAAAGGACAGTAAAAACACCAGAATATATCACAGATTTAGATTTAAACCAGCATTATAATAAAAGCTATCACTCCAGGAAACAATGTAAAACTGGGCTAAGATCACTAGCAGCCATGTTAGGCCACCGCACTAGGGACCATGGGGACTTACGGTACTTTTCTGTGTTCTAAATTTACGCTGGTCCTGTGGTCCCTGGCTAGTAAAAATTTATCAGAACCACTAAATTTGCTGTGGTTCTGGTGGCCAGTGAATATTGTATCGATAGTTAAGTAAATCCATGAATGTTATTTTGGACCAGTGAAGTACCCACAGGACCACTAATTATTGTCCACTGTTTGGTCCTGTGGTCCAGTGGGACATTTTGAAAGGTTTCTTTCCCTGCTTTTGCACGGACACCATCCCTCTTTCTATTGGCGATTATAATAAGAGAATTTAGCCAAACAGCTACAACAGACAAAAATGCTACGATTAAAATTACGTCGGATGAAGATACTTGGACAAGATTGGGACTTACGTAAAGATTTACTGAATATTTTTGCAAGTCCTTAAATTGATGTGATTCCGTTGTGTCTGGAATATGTGATTGGAACAATTGGCGCATACTTATGGCTTGTCATATGATTTGTTGTTTCTTCATTAATGCCGCACTCAGCAATATATTCCATATATATAGTTTCGGTCTGTAAATAATCGAATCTTGACCAGACTATCCAGTGATCTCAACATCATGAGCATCGATTAGTGCATTTGGGATACGATGACATGTGCCAACCAAGTCAGCGAGTCTGACCACCCGATCCCGTTAGTCGCATCTTACGACAAGCATGGGTTGCTGAAAAACAATTCTAACCCGGATCTTCACGGGTCCTTGTCATATGAGACTGTCTGCTATGACACTATTATGACATTTTCGCACTATTCTGATGAGTAAATATCGGGTTCGATTCCCCACATGGGTACAATGTGTGAAGCCCATTCCTGGTGTTCCCAGCCGCGATATCGCTGCTAAAGGTAGCGTAAACCCATACTTATTCACTCACTCTTGCACTATGGATTTCAGTATCTCATAGTCTGACCACTCTGTTACTTTTAATGTTGGCCTTGTACAAATGAGGTTCAGCGGAATTCCAAATATTCGGGTGGTAATTTCAATAAGGATTCCTTTCAATGCAGCGATTACTTTCGAGTCAGTATGGTTTTAGGCTGCTTTTAGTAATATTCCAGCAATATCATGGCAGGGACACCAGAAATGGGCTCCACACATTGTACCATGTGGGGAATCGAACCCGGGTCTTCAGCGTGACATGTCAACGTTTTAACCACTAGGCTATCCCAATGCCCCGATTTCTTTCGAAGGTGGTGTTTAAGTGTCAATATATCCATACATAAAACTTAGATGTTATCACCTTAACACTTGTTAATACATATCATATACAGACCGCCTCCGTGGTGTAGTGGTTAGAGCGTCCGCCCGGAGAGCGGAAGGTCGCGGGTTCGATCCCCGACTGCGTCATACCAAAAGACATTAAAATATGGTACTTGTTGGTCCCTGCCTGGCGCTCGGCATTAATGGGTACAACAAGGACTGGTCGGCTCGGAGTCAGTATAATGTGTCTGAGTGGGGTATTCATGGTTCACTGCGGCATGGTATCTCAGTGGGCTAGCACTATAAAACCAGCTTCAGTCTGGACTAGTACAAGCAGCCGCACATACACATACACACGCATGCACGTCGTCATATGAGCGAAATATTCTCAAGCACGACGTTAAACCCAATTTCACCTCACCTCACCTCACATATCATGTACAGGCTACTCTCGGTAACGGGACATTAGAAGGACCAGTTATCTGTCCATCCAGCTATCACTTCTTGGGTATCCCGTGACTCAAGTATTGCATTTGAAGACCTTATCAAAATAAATAACCACAAATCATACGGAGATACGACCTTTCAGAGTTTGATCTCCACTGCCGCTATAACCTCGTTTGACGTGTGTGTTTTTTATAACAAACACACTTGATGCACTCAAGGCACGAGCTAATGCTTGTTATAAGAACCAATCAATTTGCACTACTCTTCAGCGTTTGATCTACCTGTCTAAACTATGTTTCACATGTTGTTATAACAAGCAATCTTACCTGTCAAGACAAGGGTTAGTGCTTGTTAACATGAATCAATTTGGTTTGGGTGTCCATTTACGTTAAGTAAATCACTACATAAAGTCACTCTTTAGGGTTTCTTATTAAACGCCGAAAAAGTAGTTTTCAAAGGTAAACACTGCACACACTGCAATCGATACACAAAAAGGTGCTCCTGAGTTAGCTGGACCCTAACACACCTAACACTACAAGCAGTCCTGAGTCTACTCCATATCATCCACACCTTCAAGCCATCATTAACCTTGGAGCAAAAGAAACTCTACACAGGAAAATTGGATTGGGCCAAAATTGAAAGCATTATCAAGGCGTGACGACACTACACTGAAAACAGTCGCCGAAACACTGTAAACTAAGGGTACAGCACACATCTATGCTACTGATATTAAACATTGTACCATGGATTAACCATTTCTTGTAAGCCATCCTCAAACATGGATGTATACTATATTTTTTCCGTCAGTTCATATTCCTTTACAGGATAGGTGTCATAATATTCCCCACGAAGCTATGGTCCCGAATGCATGGGTCCACAGATTTATCATAATGAAATGGAATACATTACGCAGGGTCATCGAGGATATATCTCAGTATTCGTTTCAACGATTTCGAAGCAGTACTGACTGCTGAGAAAAGCAAAGATCGACATGGAGATCCTATCCTCATCCCTTGCAATGTGGAACGACCAGTCAGAAAGGCTTACATCAAGTGATGAATAACAATCAAGATTGTGTACTCGTTGTTCTGTTATGTCAGTGATAAGAAACTGTAAGATAAAGAGTTATTACATCTGGTATAATTTTAATATTAGGATAAGTCATGTGACTGTTAACCTTCTAGCGCCTCACAGGCAGCTTGGTAATAATGTGTTAGCGCTTTGAGCATGGAAACAGGCGCTTTATAAATAGCTATTATTATTAATATGTCCTCTAATTGTGGAACAAAATCTCTATATTTCAACTGGCGACCGAAATCAACATATATACTTTCTTCTCACATTTGGATATGTGGAGACACATGGCGACACAAGCAGTCGGTGAGTTCAGCGTTTGTGGTCGGAGATTACTGCGCGATCTTTCTGAATATTGTCCATTGGTCACGGATTCCCCCTTCAGATGCGATGAGGCATCGCAGATGTTCTTAGAAAATATTCTCTTTGTTTAACTAGCAACCGAAGTCAACATATACACTTTCTCCTCAGTCATTATATGCAGAGATACATGGCGATACCAACAGTCGGTGGGTTCAGCGTTTGTGGTTGGAAATTTCCCTCCATTGTCCATTGGTCACGGATTCCTACTTCAGTTGTGATGAGGGATAGCTGATGTTCCTAGTCCCCTTCTTCCACGCCTACAGTCCACGGTTCCGGTTCCGGCTCCCACTTGAGGATGTACGTTCCCCTCTTCTTCATGTCGGGACGAGCTGCCAGGATTGCGTCCACCACCCTCTTCTCCAGAACGCAGTACACCAGAAGGGACGTCAGCCTTTCACACCTGCTGCATAATTTGATCAGAGCGTCTCCGAGATCAGAAGAGTTCCTTGTCTGCAACACCACCTTCTCCAGAGTCTTGTTGTACAAGACTGCAGCAAGGTTCACCTCGTCGTAGATATACGTAAAGGTCTCCAAGCGAAGATCTACTACTGGGATCTCTGGCTTCAGTATTCCTGCAACCATACGCAGTGGACATGTGTGGTCAAATCCGAGGACGACCCTCAGCTGTGGACTCTTCTTGATTAAGTCGGACCAGGCCTCTGACGATAAATCTTGAGCGTATTTCTGTTCCCTTCTGCACAGAACAGAGAGATGCTTCAGCGGTTTGCGGTCGGCCTCAGCTAACGCGTATAGAACGCCATCCGACAAGCTGCAGTGGAAGAGCCGCAGTTCGGTGAGGCATCTACATCGTTGTACAATCTTCTCTACACACTCAGGTGAGACCTTGCACACGAGGTTTCCGTTCAGGACATTTAAAGTTTCTAGCTGCGGGGTGTTCAGCGACAAAATATCAAACACACTATCATCATAAGCTACAGATAATCCACTTAAGTCTACGTGGCGGAACTGAACCTTCTGGGATTCCATGCGACATCCGAACAACGTTTTCAGCACATCTATAAACTCCTGGCCAGCGTAAAACAGTGGGTTTGTCCCTGTGAAGTTTATTCGCAATGACGTTAGTTTTCTTCCTTCAGTGTGGCACAATATTTTGAGAGCTTCGCAGGCATTGCGCCTATTCTCCACCTCACTCTGGTCTAACAGGATTCGCAACGTCCTTATGTGTTGAGCATACTGCTCAAGCCACTGAAGACAATGGCCGTCCTTTGGTTGCTGGAAGTCGAGGGTTGAGACGTGCCAGAGCATTGGGCTTTTGTAACAACGGTGCCATGTCGTACAGGTACTGCCCGCTCTGGCTCTGTCCTCCCGGCTGAGGTAGGACAGTACGTTGATGACAATGTGCTCTGGCAACGCCCAGCCGAGACTCTCCATGACAGCTCCCCGGGTTGTGATCGGGCAACACGATACTGAAACACACACAAGGTGACGAAACGGTTATGTCGGTTCTCGATCACAGTGTGAAACAATCTACTATCATGTCATTATCCAACTTCATCAGCTGTGTAACTTAGGTGTAACACGCGTCTCTATTTGGTACGACCAGCTTCCCTAGACTTGTAGACTAGAGTGTAACTAGCCTGCAATGGGACTTTTAGCTTTCCTGGTGTGTCCAGCATCATAATGGTGTCACCAGCCTCCATCTGGTATCACTAGCCACCACAGAGTTAACCTGGCCTTCCTGCTATGTCATTAGCCTCAGTATAGTGTCCCAAGCCTCAGCACAGTGTCATTAGACACAGTGTCATTGTGTCTCTGTGGTGCTACTTGTCTCCCTGTGGTGTCTCCTGTAATGTTAAGTTCTAGCTCGCCCCCCTCTTATGACGCCATGATGGTATGTGCCTCTCTATGGTGCCCTAACTACTATTGTAGTGTCCCTACATCCATGGATAGACTCATGGAACAAGTGCATTTCAGATTTCTAATTCACTGAACATCACGAATTGAGATACATCCCATTAAACAGACATACGTCCCTTGGCATAATGTCAGGACATTTGCTAACAGCGTCATAAAACAACATAGTATCGCCAAAAGCGAGAAATGCATAGAAAAAGTACATATATAGTATTTTATGAGCGTTTCTCTTGGTGAGTTCCCTCCCTTAGCAAGCTTTCCCGTCGAGCGCGACTCAACTTACCGAGATGTGTACAGCCTTTGCGCTATCGATAGTACATGTTGTCTTCGATAATACGAGGCCAACGTTCACAGGTCGTGATCTATTGTTATACGGGTACCTGAATAATACCGCTCAAGACAATGCCAGTTCCTGATCCATCAGTTCTATTGTTTTCACTGATATTAACTCGCAACAGAGACCATATCCTGCTCGCAACCACTCGTTTTGTGCTCGACACGGAAGCAAGATACCATATTCCACACAAACAGTTTAGAGATGCAGCATTGCACGTACCTTGGATAGAACTAACTACGACGGCAACATTACCCGTCCACTTCACCAGTGTACAACTTCGGACATGTTCAGTTGTAGGATACCCGCATGACTGTGAACCGCGCTGATCTCAACTCACCTTATATGGACATACGTAGATGTCAGTTATATATAGATTTCGTGTCAGATAATGTGTCAGTGAGTGAGTGAGTGAGTCAGGTATAAACCATATTCACGGTGACGTCGCAGTGAGACAGGCTGCAGACACGGGATAGATCTGGGTCAAGCCCGGGTCGATCGTTCTCGCCGCATGGCTACACACAATAATAAGTAACCTGGTACGATTGTACCAACACTTATTTAATGGTTGCGATTTTCTCTTAGTAGGGGTTGAACTTACTTATTGTGAGTATTTTAAGAGTCAACAGGGATCTCACAAATCTCTCGCGTCGAGCTCACTAGGAAAAAGGGGTGCTTGGTGTCACAGTTATGAAACTATCAGGGGCGTAGCTACTATTATTAAAAAAAAAGCCCGGGCTTACTCGTGATTGTTGCTAAAAAGGTTGGGCAAGCCCCCAATACTATCTAACCATAAAGCTTTGCAACCTATCGAGCTTAAAAATTGGCTTGCTACGCGCCTGACTATCTGCGGGAACAAAATAAATACGATTCGTATTCGTTGCTTCTTTAATGAACTTGTACGCCCTATCTACAATAGGAGATTGCCTCAACACTTATTGTGAACACACTTATTGTGAACTGTCGCTTACCGTTATAGTTGACATTATATATGCCATTGTGGACTGTATACAGACATGTGCTTTTGAGGTGTGAGTTTGGCAGTATTCGTGATTCAAGGGTGAGTAAATGAGTGAGTGAGTGAGTTAGGTTTTACGCCGCATTCAGCAATATTTCAGCTATATGGCGGCGGTCTGTAAATAATCGAATCTAGACCATACAATCCAGTGATCAACACCATGAGCATCGATCTACGCAATTGGGATACGATGACATGTATCAACCAAGTCAGCGAGCGTGACCACCCGATCCCGTTAGTCGCCTCTTACGACATGGGTTACTGAATGTAACCCATTGTAATGTAATGTTATCCATTGTCACTGGCTTCTACATGTAACCCCTTGTCATCACATTGTTAGTGTACTACCCTATTAACTTCTTGTTCTTGTTAACCATTTTACTGTATATATATTTCAACCCTTTTCAGATACTTGCTTGACAACCATACAAGAATCTGTATCGAAACGTCACATCATCCAAATATAGATGTTGTTCATCCAGTTTTGAAGTTTTGTCCTTATATGGTTACTGAAGATCAGTTCTAACCCGGATCTTCACGGGTTGGTGAGTCAAGGAGAATATGAGTGGAGAATTAGATGACATTCGAGTTTTAGGTGTGCCTGTACACGCACGTGGTTGGTGTTCACTCATATGACAGATCCGTGGTCTATTCAATGCTGTTGAAAATGTGAGATACATAGCTTCTTGCGGCGTCTGTGTAGTTCGGTCGTACATTGCCAACACTTTCTTCCCCAAACTTTATTGAACAGTGAATCTTTGGCGCGCCTGTTCCTCGAAGATAATGTCTAACTTTGTAACTACGTTCCGTTTTTATTTCATTTGGGGTCCATTATTATTTTTGTGAAGATAGCTAATCTGCCAATTTTGTTGAATAGTTCCTCATCCTCTTACAAATAAATGAACACGTTAAGGCCCATCCTCCTTCTCAGTCTGCTCAGATCTTATTTGTCTGGTTTGAACTTTTGAAGTGAAGCTAAGCACAAAATAAATACCATTCGATGCTACAGTCATGAGGGAAACTCCATAAGGGGCAACACCTCCGGGTAGATATACTCTGACATATGGACAATACATGGTTGTATGCTTGACAGGAGTTGTGAGTGGGAAAGAGTGGAAGTGGTTTTACTGGGCTTTTAGCAATATTTCAGCAATATCACTGCAGGGGACACCAGAAATGTGCTTCACACACTAGACCCATATGGGGAATCGAACCGCATGACAAGCGGATCGCTTTAACGATTAGGTTACCTGCCCAATGTTGGACAGGAACTGCTGTGTGAATAACCAATGGGCAATGACTTATGGTCATTTGGGTAGTTACTGATGCCTGTATAACTCCTCAAACACAATCCTGGGTTTGATGCTGTATAAAACTACTATAAATACCACGAAGTGCAACAAAATGGTACCACCAGTTGCATATCTGATGATTACTTACAACAATCACAACAGATTCAAAGTTGTTTGTCTCTATGTTTATCTGATATTGCAACGGTTGAGGACAGGAAGTATATACACCATCAAATATACAAACAGTCAGTAGATACATAGATATACAGTATGTACACACACGATTTCCACACATCCATTCCAACTTACAGGGATATTTGAATAAGCGGAATGATTGTAAGAATACAGTGCAATTAGCCATACAGACACATCATGGAATGAAGGTACCAACACCAGCAGCTACACCAAGTGTTACCCTTGTCCTACCCACAGGAGACACACCATCATACAATGGCACGATGATGACAGTCAAAGTCTATATATTTAGTCTACAGGGACAGTGATGATGTGGTATTTATTTAAAACTTAATTATTATATGTCTGCTAAACATGTTTTCAAATACCCTTAATAACAAAACATATATACTAAAAATATTAAGGACCTCCAATTTTGTACTGCTATAGTTACTTGTTCATGCCATGACAGATTAACCATAGCAATATGAATATTTTGGGCGCTCCTTAACTTCTTTTGAGTAGAATAAATAACAAATGGCACATTATTTATCGCATACATGTCACAAACACATACCATGACTACTCAGTGTTTTAACAAGCACCAGCATCACAAACAATGATGCTCAATTTGTAAATTCATATATTTCCACGCTGACCAGTCTGACTTTGCTTGAAGAAAAAAGAAAATAAATGTGATCAAACAAATAAAAAAAATAATGTTTTTTTTCAATACTTCATGATAAATTGCTACCATCCGTCACTTCAGAAGCGATATTCTTCATGAAAACACTTACTCACTAAGCAGATGCCTGCACCACTAGCAAGAGTTCTGCCCATAACGCTTGAAATGTATTCTGTTTATTAGGATAATTTTGAGGGTCTAGGGTTTAGGTTTAGAGATTAGGTATAGGCATTTTATAAACACCATAGACCTATATCTTTAGGCATAGAACAATTAAAAAAGTATGGGGTTACTGGGGAAATATTTACTACCACTCAGGCAGAGTGCTTTAGGGCCTGTATCCTCCCGCTCACAATGTCACCTATCTCCGAATGATGACTGTCCCCAAAATTTTAAATTCAACACAAAAATGAAATCCATTTCATGATTATTCCCCATGACCCAACATCCTGGGTCCCATTTCACAAAGTGATCGTAGCGCTAAGGTGATTGTAACTTGCATACTTTAACATAGACTTACGACAGTCGTAGCGTTACGATCCTTTGTGACATGCCCCATGGTCAATGATACAACACACAAGTCAATGACCCTGTATCGTCTCTCTCGTGAAATGATGATACCATAACACTGTACCCACATTGTCTTCATTCAATAAATACTTCACACAACTAACAAAAAAAGCTGATCATTTGAACGTCTGTGGCTCAGTTGTTCTACCCACTACTTTGATGAAATGTGTCTGGTTGAGTTTCTGGTAACTGGCCTGGCCCAGATCCAAAAAGCTATCTTTATCATATGGCTGTCCTAAGTCTATGTTAAGGCAATCAGATCATATTCCTTACTTCACAATCCTTTTCTTAAAACATATGGTCGGTGGCTGAAATGAAGCTACAAATATATTTCAACACGTTTTTAAATTGGTAGATAGAGGCTCAAGTTGCTTGAGTTAGAAAAGATCCATGTTCAGTTGTAGCCATTAAAGCAAAACCTTCTGGAACCAGTAAGCAAAAGACTCATCTGTACACAATATGTTACCATGGTTACAGACCTGAAAAATGCGTCAATGCCCTTGACACTAACATTTTTTCATGAGAGAAACACATTAACATGCAACTGGAAGGCTCAATGATTGTCTTCCCAGTTATATTATTCCATATTTGGAATTTACTATTGGTGGAACTGTGGACTAAGTAATAAAAACCAATGCCTTAAGGTACAGAGGTCACAGCAGTCACATAGTAAAGATTGCTGTGAAGAACGTCTGGGTCCAATTTCACAAAACAAACTTGTGCAACAATGATTATAACTCAATACTCTAATATATATTTACGACAGTCTTAGCATTAAAATTGTTTCATGTAAAGGACCCTGGTCCAGTGCCAGTTGAGAGATTTAAAGGGACAACAATCCAGACCAGGGCCTCTTTCCACAGAGCGATCGTAGCGCTATGACAGTCTGTGTGGGAGTATGGGTGTTACGATCATCTTAGACGATCCCTTTGAGGAACGGGGCCCTGGTCTCCCATAGGAGCCTTAGTCCTGATCCACAAAATGTTCGTATCACTACAGTCTAAGTAAACTTTGGCTCAGTATTATTGTTACACTGCTATGCTGAGTCTAACAAACCCTAGTAGAAGGTCGCGTCAGCTAACCTTTTGGACTGACCAATCAGCACACAGCTTACCAAATCCGAAAGTTAACATTCGCACATACCGTTTGAACCTTTGCCTCAAAAACTTGAATGATCCCGAATGCTATTTTCCGCATTATCGCTTCTGAGTGATACACATGGAGGACGCAATGAGTAAACAGTCGCTGAAAATAGCGTTTTTGTCAATATTCAAGGATGTCATCTTGCGGAAATATAACCATGTCATTAGAAACCCCTAAGCGTATATACTGCAGGTCAAATATCTGTGTTTTATGCGGATTTACGTTTGTTGATAGATCAGTGTCGGGGACCAGGGAAGAGAAAATCCCAAAACCGTTCTGTAAGTCCCACGGAACCCTAAAATTGGTTAAATCCATTCGGACGTCTCGTGTTTGATTTGATTGTCATAGGTCGCTCAAAGGTTAGCTGACGCGACCTTCTACTAGGGTTTGTTAGACTCAGTACAGCAGTGTAACGAATATTGAACCTAAGTTTACTTTGACTGGTATCACTACTACACATTTTCTTAAAAATATGACAAACTATGGAGTTATGACAGGTCATAACGTTACGAACGCTTTGTGGATCGAGTCCCAGTACTCAGAGCCCAGAGGTCTTGTCTCATACCCGTCACAGCTCTCAGCTGTCCTGGACCTGCCACTTTGGGTAACAACATTAGTTTTATGTACAATCCTGTACAACTGAAGTGTACAACATAAGTTACATGAAGACTACAGAAAAACTGAATGTTAACTCTTTACAGCAATTAATATTATAACTAGAAACGTGATAATGACTGCCAGGATGATTATAATGTACATTTTCCTGTTCTTCTTTTGATATTTTTCTGCTTTCTGTAACTGCTGCAATCCTTTCTCAACAGCGACGGAGGAATGTTCAATGTTGTAGTCGATCCTGTCCAGAAGTGAACCCTGAAATAATCACATGACAGTGGTGAGTTCAGGCAGATACAGGTTGAAACAGTTCACCGATACATTCATATAAGGTACCGTTCATAATTTATGGCTAGGGGGGTGATGATGATATTTATGGAGAAGCATGTACAATGTGAATGACCCCCACTAAAATTGATGTACAAAGTAAGTGCCCCCCCCCTTGCATGACATGTACAAAATCAATGACCCTCCTCCCCCTTTCCATATTTCTAAAGCATAATTTTTATGTACAAAACTGCTGAACCCCCTAGAAACATATGTACAAAATTGATGACTCCCCTCCCACCTCCCCAGAACAAAATGGGCGACCCCCCCTTAAAACATCATCACCAACAACGACAAACACCCCCTAACCCCACCCCAAAAAAAACAACAACAACAAAAAAACCAAAACAAAACAAAACAAAAAAGACCATAAATTATGAATGGTCCCTAAGGGCGAACCCATACCCCGATACACAATACGTACACACATACCATTGGGAGAGAACAATAGGTAATGATAGGGCAACTTTATACACATGTGCTGATCATGTCGGAAGGCAGGGATCAATGCCAGCTTGATAAGAATTCCATTTCATCCAAAACATCTATGTAGAATCATTTTAGATTCCCTTTCCAAGAGAAGAGTGAATGAGTTCAATTTTATGCCACATTTAGCAATATTCCAGCAATATCATGGCGGGGGACACTAGAAATAGGCTTCATACACATTGTACCGAACCAGGGTTTTTGTCATGACGAGCAAATGCTTTAACCACTAGGCTACCCAGTGAGTGAGTGAGTGAGTGAGTGAGTGAGTGAGTGAGTTGAGGTGAGTGAGGTGAGTGAGTGAGTGAGTGAGTGAGTGAGGGAGTGAGGGAGGGAGGGAGCAGGTGAGTTTAGTTTTAAGCCGATTTTAGCAATATTCACAGCGGGGACGCCAGAAATGGTCTTCACACATTGTACCCACGTGGGAAACCAAACCCGGATCTTCAGAGTGACGTGCGAACACTTTAACTTTAACACCACCCCATTTATTGAGAAAACCCCATAGCACAAAGTGATCTTAGCACTAAGACCGTCTTAAGTCTACCTAAGTTTGGTAGTTACAATCATCTTTGTTCTAAAATCACTTCATACAAGTGGGTCAAGACAAGTGGGCAAACAGTCAATTGCATTTATTTCATTTATCACAAATACACAAGTAGCCCCACTTATATGACAACACATTTTTGCCATCACCACCATACTTTGACATAATGTGTGCCAAGCAAAGTTGCTGCTTAAGCATTGATTCCACATCCAGATTAAAGATGTCGACTGGCAATATTGTTTCTTAAACAAGAGTCATCAGAAGATGACATATCCCCCCGGCCCCCACATCTTTGAAAGAACAAATCATCTGACAGTTACTTAAAGTCCAGCTTGATTTAGACTAAGTGCAAATCATTTCCATGGAAAGTGAGAAAATAATAAATCACAAAAATCTGCAAATAGCAAAAGGCACCACTTCAAGATCTGCCTCACATATCTGCCAAGTTTTGCTGAAAGATATTCAGAAGTTTTCCAGTTGTGCTCCGGAAATGAAACCCACCCCTTCCTTTTGAGACTAAGTCCGAATCATTTCCATGGAAACCGAGAAAATAATAAATCACAAATATCTGCAAATAGCAAAAGGCACCACTTTGGGATCTGCCTAACATATCTGCCAAGTTTTGCTGAAAGATATTGAGAAGTTTTCGAGTTGTGCTCCGGAAACGAAGCCCACCCCTCACTTTTGGGACTAAGTCCGAATCGTTTCCATGGAAACCGGGAAATATAAAAATGCCAAAAATCTGCAAATAGCAAAAGGCACAACTTTAGGATCTGTTTGATATATCTACCAAGTTTTGTTAAAAAATATTGAACGGTTCTTGAGTTATGCTTCGGAAACGAAGCCCACCCCTCCCTTTTGGGACTAAGCCCGAATCGTTTCCATGGAAACCGGGAAATATAAAAATGCCAAAAATCTGCAAATAGCAAAAGGCACCACTTAGGGTTCTGTTTGATATATCTACCAAGTCTTGTTGAAAAATATTGAACGGTTTTTGAGTTATGCTCCGGGAAACGAAGCCCACCCTTCTTTAAGACTAAGTCCAAAACGTTTCCATGGAAACCGAGAAAAATAAAAATGACAATAATCTGTAAATAGCAAAAGGCACCACCTTAGGTTATGTTTGACATATCTACCAATTGGTCTTTGAGTTATGCTCCGGAAACAAACTGATTACGGACGGACGAACGGACGGACGAGGCGACGACTACATGCCGGTGGGATAAAAATAATTCAGCTGATGGGCTTTCTGTATCATGAAAGGTGTATCAAGCCTTAGGTATCATCTTTTCATATTACATGAACTTTGGATCTGACTATTGTATTTTAAGACTAATAACTGATATGATTGGTTGGTTGGTTGGTTGTTTAACGCGCTGCGCTCAGCAATATTCCAGCTATTTGCCGGCGGCCTGTAAAAAGAATCGAGTCTGGAGCAGACAATCAAGTGATCAACAACATGGGCATCGCTCTACACAACTGGGATATGATGACATGTATCAACCAAGTCTGCGAGCCTGACCACCCGATCTCGTTAATCACCTTTTACAACAAGCCTGGGTTGCTGAAGATCAATTCTAACCCGGATGTTCACAGGTGTAACTAATATGAACATAATTAAACAGTAACAGTTATCTATTTGCATGTTCCACATACAGTAACTGTGTATGGTAGATTTCATCCCTGTGAAAATCTCAGTGCAGAGTTGTGTCCCTTACATGTGGTAGGATCCTATGGCAGAACACTGTAGATGTTGGACAGTCAGCTTTATTTGATAAGGAATATGTGGGTGCAATTCCTCTCGGAGCTGACAGTGATTGTAACTAACTCATAGATCAATATCTCTTTATCAAAAGATACCAAACCTCACCATACCTGATCTACTATCATGGATGATAAATCTTTAAAGATTTCATTGAGATCCATGATTGATCGGACAATCTGGGACACCTCCTTCTCCCTTGTCTGGACGATGTTTGTGTTGTCTTCCACCAGCAGAATCTGGTCAGCAGTGAAGCCCTGAAACATCACCAGCATTACAGGTATTAGGGGACCTCGTATTTATGCAGCTTTTCCATCAGTCTGTGTAAGAATCTAGACCATGTTTGCACATCATGTCTCTTTCCAGTTTCAAAGAAGTGTCAAATCACTATTTGTACATAAAAAGTAACATACATTTATTGCATAGTATATCATGTTGGTATTAATGTGCATTTGAAAAATATATAACAGTAATCTTGACTGAGAAAGGGAAAGTGTTAAATAGCATCCATGTAAGTATGAACATTTCACCTGGATACTGTCAATCCGGAAATTACTGATAATCAAGTTAGTCAAGTTAGGTTGAAGCACATGTCACAAACAATGGAATTTATCACCGCTCTTGGGCAAGATCAAGCTGTACCTCTAGGACATATCATTTTAAAGAAATTGCATCACAATGCTTTGGAGACCATTGGTTCCTATGACATCAGAATCAAATGACATAGGGACTCCCTCTGGTGCTGAAGCCAGTTGGCTGTATTTCTGGTGACAAATGTTTACAAATTTGTTTACAAACTAACAAGTAGGAAGAATAGTTTTGACTGATATATAGCATCTCCTTAGTGTCTTTTCACATCAAATATATTAACATTTAATTAAAAAGTAAAAATCATATATCTTTACTGACTTGTGTTGCTGTATTTGATACCAAAGACACTCTGTGAGATTTCCTTCAATCACAGAATAAAGCACCTTATTACAGTTTTTCATGTAGATGTACTGAGTGCTTCCTACCAGGTCCAGCTTGTATACACTAAGGCGTCAAGCTGTTATAAGACTGAATATTGCTTTCAAGGCATTATAACCACATCTGTTAGTAGTGGGCAAGCCACTGCTTATCCACATAATGAAAATATCCAGTACAGCAAATGCAGACCTGTAACAATTTCTTAGTGTTACATTGGCGACCTTAAATAATCAAAGCAATGACTGATAGTATGAAAGGCAATGCAGGGCAGACACCAAGTTACCACACACTTTTCAGTTTTGTAATCCCTTATGGGAAGAATAGGGGGGTATGTTTCCTTTTCTTGGTTTCCTTTTTAGATGTCAACACTGAACCTACCCAACTGTTTATGTCGATGCTTTACCAAACACTGAACCTACCCAACTGTTTATGTCGATGCTTTACCAAACACTGAACCTACCCAACTGTTTATGTCGATGCTTTACCAAACACTGAACCTACCCAACTGTTTATGTCGATGCTTTACCAAACACTGAACCTACCCAAGTGTTTATGTCGATGTTTTTACCAAACACTGAACCTACCCAACTGTTTATGTCGATGCTTTACCCAACACTGAACCTACCCAACTGTTTATGTCGATGCTTTACCCAACACTGAACCTACCCAACTGTTTATGTCGATGCTTTACCAAACACTGAACCTACCCAACTGTTTATGTCGATGCTTTACCAAACACTGAACCTACCCAACTGTTTATGTCGATGCTTTACCCAACACTGAACCTACCCAACTGTTTATGTCGATGCTTTAACCAACACTGAACCTACCCAACTGTTTATGTCGATGCTTTAACCAACACTGAACCTACCCAACTGTTTATGTGATGCTTTACCCAACACTGAACCTACCCAACTGAACGATGTTTTACCCAACACTGAACCTACCCAACTGTTTATGTCGATGCTTTACCCAACACTGAACCTACCCAATTGTTTATGTCGATGCTTTACCAAACACTGAACCTACCCAACTGTTTATGTCGATGCTTTACCCAACACTGAACCTACCCAATTGTTTATGTCGATGCTTTACCCAACACTGAACCTACACAACTGTTTATGTCGATACCCGGTCATACATGTTATTGTTATACCCAACATTGAACGTACCCGGTCATACATGTTATTGTTATACCCAACATTGAACGTACCCGGTCATACATGTTATCGTTATACCCAACATTGAACGTACCCGTCATACATGTTATCGTTATACCCAACATTGAACATACCTGGTCATACATGTTATTGTTATACCCAACATTAAACCTATCGAGTCATACATGTTATTGTTATACCCAACATTGAACGTATCCGGTCATACATGTTATTGTTATACCCAACATTGAACGTAGCCGGTCATACATGTCATCATCAGCAATATTAACTTCCTCCATCATGGACTCCGGACCAATACTGGTACCAAAATACTGTCTTGACCGCTCCTCTCGTGTCTTCAACTCTGCACAAAAACATCCCAGTAGCACATAATGTATAATGGGCATCAACTTAATTATATGTTATTATCAAGTAAAAACAAAATAACTGCTGTCAACTCCCCTAAACTCTGCAGTCCTAAATGTCCTTAACACTGAGTGTCTTCAATGCCCCTAACACTTCATCCTTCTTTGTCCCTAACGCTCCATCTTTCTTTGTTCCTAACACTCCATCTTTCTTTGTTCCTAACACTACACCCTTCTTTGTCCCTAACACTACACCCTTCTTTGTCCCTAACACTACATCCTTCTTTGTCCCTAACACTACACCCTTCTTTGTCCCTAACACTACATCCTTCTTTGTTCCTAACACTTCATCCTTCTTTGTCCCTAACACTCCATCCTTCTTTGTCCCTAACACTACATCCTCTTTGTCCCTAACACTACATCCTTCTTTGTCCCTAACACTACACCCTTCTTTGTCCCTAACACTACATCCTTCTTTGTCCCTAACACTACATCCTTCTTTGTTCCTAACACTACACATCCTTCTTTTGTCCCTAACACTACACCATCCTTCTTTTGCCCCTAACACTACATCCTTCTTTTTGTCCCTAACACTACATCCTTCTTTTAACACTACATCCCTAACACTACACCCTTCTTCTTTGTCCCTAACACTACATCCTTCTTTGTCCCTAACACTACATCCTTCTTTGTCCCTAACACTCCATCCTCTTTGTCCCTAACACTCCATCCTTCTTTCTCCCTAAAACTCCAAGACCTCTTTGTCCTTCTTTGGGTCCTAACACTACAGCCTCCTTTCTTGTCCCTAACACTACATCCTTCTTTGTCCCTAACACTTCATCCTTCTTTGTCCCTAACACTCCATCCTTCTTTGTCCCTAACACTCCATCCTCTTTGTCCCTAAAACTCCATCCTTCTTTGTCCCTAACACTACATCCTTCTTTGTCCCTAACACTACATCCTTCTTTGTCCCTAACACTATATCCTTCTTTGTCCCTAACACTACATCCTTCTTTGTCCCTAACACTCCATCCTTCTTTGTCCCTAACACTACATCCTTCTTTGTCCCTAAAACTCCATCCTTCTTTGTCCCTAACACTCCATCCTTCTTTGTCCCTAACACTCCATCCTTCTTTGTCCCCTACATCCTTCTTTGTCCCTAACACTACACCCTTCTTTGTCCCTAACACTCCCTAACCCTTCTTTGTCCCTAACACTCCATCCTTCTTTGTCCCTAACACTCCATCCTTCTTTGTCCCTAACACTCCATCCTTCTTTGTCCCTAACACTACATCCTTCTTTGCCCTTAACACTCCATCCTTCTTTGTCCCTAACACTACATCCTTCTTTGCCCTTAACACTACATCTTTCTTTGTCCCTAACACTACATCCTTCTTTGTCCCTAACACTACATCATTCTTTGTCCCTAACACTCCATCCTTCTTTGTCCCTAACACTACATCATTCTTTGTCCTTAACACTACATCATTCTTTGTCCCTAACACTGCTGCCCTCCATGTCTCTAACATTGCATCCTAATACCGGCAGCCATAATATGACATTTGGGAGAAAGTTTTGAGGCGTAATATCTATTCATAAGATGTATTACAAGCTAATAAAACTCACTTCTGAGATAATTTGATTGACTCTTCCGGAAATTTGTGGACATTTCTTGGATAGCTCGTGCTAAGGATGACAAAATGTTGGCTGACAAACGCTTCTCTTGGTTGGTCCCATGCAAGCTTCTGGAGCCTATGGAATGGACTAGTCTCTGGCACCTGGTAAACATCTGAAATGAATACAAGAACCATATACAGTGATCACATCAGATAACCAGAATGAAAACACCATGTAATGACACAGATGTATGTATATTGAATTACAGGCATTAACTTTAGTGTCTCACTGCACACACTGAACATATCTAAATACTATCACACATACGATGATGTTTGTACCGGTTTATGTTAATTAAAAATACTCTATATCGAAAACAATGTGCTGTATCGCGAAGTATAGTATAACCAGAAATTATTGAGAATTTTAGGAATATGTTTATTTGGATTTCTAGTATAAACAACCTTGACCAGCTATCAAGTGCTTGGTTTCATTCAAGAGAGACAACTCCGTTAATCCTTTTTCATTAGTTTGTGAAGAGTTATCCCCCTTTGTTTACTTGCTAGCAGATTATAACAAGGACATCAGATCAGCTAAAGTGATTTCAAAAATTACAATCTTAAATTCTCAATAATTTCTGGTTGTACTGTACATGTGTTAAATATGGGGTAAAAAAATGAAAACCTTGATTTTGACATATTGAAGCAAAACTGCCATTTTAAGATGCCATGTCTGGCCTTAATTGCACGGATCACTGTGTTCAGCAGTAACATTGAGGTAAGCATGAACAGATTATCATGATTGATTGTTGTGCACAAAGACCCATGTCCAGTGTGGACTGAAAGTATCAGCAATGGTCCAAGCCACTGAAGCATGACCACCTGATCTCTATTTAAATTTGTTCATGAATATCCACATCACTTACAATAAGAAGACAGTGTTGTCTTCATGTCTGTCATTAATGCTGTTATTGTATCATCAACTACCAATGTTTGTTGTATGTGTTTCACTGTTTCACTTGTTACACCCTCTCAGGATACTCCAGCTAAACGATGGCTGCCTCTAGCAAAGTCTGTTCCACACAATCAAGTGATCAATAATTAAGATAACAGAAATAACAAGTGTAGAAGTGAGCACAGCTCACATACCCCCGCTTCCTACTTTGGGACATGGAAATGACTGATATTGATATATATAATGTGACAAGGATCAGCAGCTCACAAGACTTTCTCCTTGACTCTACTAAACTTTATATACATGTTAGATAATAGTTTTGCCATGTACTGATTACAGTAATAATTTATGGAAACATTATTTTTTTGTGTTTTCCGTGGAAACCTGACATACAATTGAACTTGACTGTCTCATGTTGCACACAATGAAGTGGATGTAGATGAAGATTGTTTTTTTTTAGCACATGGCATATCTGTGGGTCATGATTAACTTGTGTGTGAAGTTTGGTGAACCTAGCATGTATAGTTTCGATGATATGCTGTGGCCAGGTAACCATCAAAGGCATTTTGCACCAAGACATGTTTCCATGGAAACAACAACAAAACAAATTCTGAATAAACTTTAAAATAGCAAAAGGCACATCAATGGGTAATGATTAACATGTGTGTGAAGTTTGGTGAACCTAGCATGTAAACTTTAAGAGATATGCTCCAGACAAAACAATCAAACACATTTGGCACTAAGTCGTGTTTCCATGGAAACAGCAGAAAACCAAAATTCTGAAAAAACTTTAAAATAGCAAAAGGCACATCAATGGGTAATGATTAACATGTGTGTGAAGTTTGGTGAACCTAGCATGTAAACTTTAAGAGATATGCTCCTGACAAAACAATCAAACACATTTGGCACTAAGTCGTGTTTCCATGGAAACAGCAAGAAAACCAAAATTCTGAAAATACTTTAAAATAGCAAAAGGCACATCAATGGGTAATGATTAACATGTGTGTGAAGTTTGGTGAACCTACCATGTAAACTTTAAGAGATATGCTCCTGACAAAAAAATTCTGAAAAAACTTTAAAATAGCAAAAGGCACATCAATGGGTAATGATTAACATGTGTGTGAAGTTTGGTGAACCTAGCATGTAAACTTTAAGAGATATGCTCCTGACAAAACAATCAAACACATTTGGCACTAAGTTAGGTGTTTCCATGGAAACAGCAGAAACCAAAATTCTGAAAAACTTTTAAAAAGCAAAAGGCACATCAATGGGTAATGATTAACATGTGTGTGAAGTTTGGTGAACCTAGCATGTAAACTTTAAGAGATATGCTCCTGACAAAACAATCAAACACATTTGGCACTAAGTCGTGTTTCCATGGAAACAGCAGAAAACCAAAATTCTGAAAATACTTTAAAATAGCAAAAGGCACATCAATGGGTAATGATTAACATGTGTGTGAAGTTTGGTGAACCTAGCATGTAAACTTTAAGAGATATGCTCCGGACAAACTTTCGGGACGGAAGGACGGACGGACAGAATGAACACTATATACCCCGTTACTTCGTAGCGGGGGTATAAATATGTGTACAAAGACAAGAACCAAGGCACTAAGCCTGAAAATCAGATTCATTTCATGACCAGCAACAGCTATGAATACATAATGTCATTTAGACGTGTGTGCGTGTGTGTGTGGGGGTACCTGACCCTTACTCTCCACAGAGTTGGTCTGATACCTGACCCTTACTCTCCACAAGGTTGGTTACTGCTACTTCAACCCTACTCTCTGCTACTTCAACCCTACTCTCCACAGAATTGGTTACTGCTACTTCAACCCTTCTCTCTGTTACTTCAACCCTACTCTCCGCAGGGTTGGTTACTGCTACTTCAACCCCACTCTCTGCTACTTCAACCCTACTCTCCACAATGATGGTTACTGCTACTTCAACCCTACTCTCTGCTACTTCAACCTTACTCTCCACAATGAAGGTTACTGCTACTTCAACCCAACTCTCCACAATGATGGTTACTGCTACTTCAACCCCACTCTCTGCTACTTCAACCTTACTCTCCACAGAGTTGGTTACTGCTACTTCAACCCTACTCTCCACAATGATGGTTACTGCTACTTCAACCCAACTCTCCACAGAGTTGGTTACTGCTACTTCAACCCTACTCTCCACAGAGTTGGTTACTGCTTCTTCAACCCTACTCTCTGCTACTTCAACCCTACTCTCCTCAATGAAGGTTACTGCTACTTCAACCCAACTCTCCACAATGATGGTTACTGCTACTTCAACCCCACTCTCTGCTACTTTAACCCTACTCTCCACAGAGTTGGTTACTGCTACTTCAACCCTACTCTCCACAATGATGGTTACTGCTACTTCAACCCAACTTTCCACAGAGTTGGCTACTGCTACTTCAACCCTACTCTCCACAGGGTTGGTTACTGCTACTTCAACCCCACTCTCTGCTACTTCAACCCTACTCTCCACAATTATGGTTACTGCTACTTCAACCCTACTCTCTGCTACTTCAACCCTACTCTCCACAGTGTTGGTTACTGCTACTTCAACCCTACTCTCCACAATGTTGGTTACTGCTACTTCAACCCAACTCTCCACAGAGTTGGCTACTGCTACTTCAACCCTACTCTCCACAGATTTGGTGACTGCTACTTCAACCCAACTCTCCACAGAGTTGGTTACTGCTACTTCAACCCTACTCTCCACAGAGTTGGCTACTTACTCACTGCCTAGCCCTCTCCACAAAGTTGGTTACTCAACTTCAACCTACTCTCCACAGAGTTGGTTACTGCTACTTCAACCCTACTCTACACAGAGTTGGTTACTGCTACTTCAACGTCAACCCTACTCTCCACAGAGTTGGTTACTGCTACTTCAACCCTACTCTCCACAGAGTTGGTTACTGCTACGTCAACCCTACTCTCCACAGAGTTGGTTACTGCTACTTCAACCCTACTCTCCACAGGGTTGGTTACTGCTACGTCAACCCTACTCTCCACAGGGTTGGGTACTGGTACCTGAGTTATTTCTTGGGTTTGGATCTCAATGGCGTGTTCCTCATCTACACTGTCATCTAATGTTGGTCGATTCAGATGTTTGTCATGGAGAGCAGACAACTCCTTCACTGAAACCAGGACACATACATACATTTTACAAAAAGAAGGTACATAATCTTCATAACCGGCTGATCAAATGCTAGTAAGCTTATAACTGCAATGGCTGTACACACTCAAAATGTGCATCTATATGACTTACTCCTTTCATAACAAATGAGCACATGAAAGGGTTTGATGAAAAACCTGTATGAGTTACAAGCCATTTACCTCTTTGTTTGATTCGGGATATTTCAAACTGGACCTCTTCTACTCCATCAACCCTACATCAGAGAAACAAACAATGTATAATGTCTTTCAGTGGCATTTAGAAGTTGTACAATGTATTGTCAAACTTTCAACACAAATATGGATGACAGCATGGTTAGCATTAAACAAGATACTTTACATTTTAACCAGAATTGATTCATGAGAGAAAGAAGATCAACCACCAAGTAATCACTGGTATATAATTACTTTCATTTAACATGTTTATGACTCTCTCAACATGCTCAAATATCAAAACCTTTCAAAATACACATAATATTATGGTAATGCACATATATCATGAAATGTTATTTGTAAAATAAAAGACCAACCTTTTTAAGAAACACTTAAACAAACATGAAGAAAACTCTGTACATTTGTCAAAAATAGCTAACAACACTACATGAATTTGGTGAAAGTCACCTGAGTTTCCAAGCAAAGATACTGTCTGGCAAGTTGAAATGATTTGTCTGCTGAGGATATCCCGACTAACAAGCACTGTCAAAATATTTATCTAAAACAGTGTTGTAATACACACCATTCTGGAGGTAGTCTGGACGACCTCGTGGAAGCAATCCCAAGTTCAGGGTCAACAGTAGCTGACCCCATGAGAGCCATGCGGTCATCTGCAGTCTGAAAACAAGCAACGAGACATGAGAAACTTGCAATATGTGCAAAGTGCACAGAGTGTGAAATAGCTGTGTGCCTGCTAGCCGGCACCTTGAAAACTTTCTGTCAGGCTCGAGACACTGTCAGGTTAGACAACCTGAAATGTGTGAAATGAAGCTACAGTTATTATTATTTTTAATTTTTTATTATTATAGGATATTTACACAGCGCACATATCCATGCAACTACTGCATGCTCAAGGCGCTGGTATTTTTTCCATCGATCATTGGATGTCAATCTCATCGGCACATCGTATATTATCAAACTCAACTCCCTTGGGAGTATACAACTCTTGCAGTCACTAGGCGCACAAAGTTATTGTGGCTTTCTCATCCTAACGAGGTCCCCATTCACAGTTGGGCAGCACAAGTGACACAGACTTTGTAAACACTGTGAAGGGTCTGCCCTTGACAGCTCAATGAAACTCTAGTACTTTAACATGGTTTAAACATATTTTTATTCCATCAAAGCAGCAGCCTGGATAGCCGAAATCTCCCAATTGACAGACACCCATTTGACAGACACCCAATTGGCAGACACTGAACTAGAAGGTTAATTAGGGTGACACCTACGGGTATAATGGAACAGTCCACTGTCTAGTGAGCAGAGCAGGGTGAGCCTGAAACAGGTTCGTTACTGAGAAGTTTGATTGTGGGCAAATAGAACTTTGTTGTGATTAAATGATAAATGGTTTCTCTTCTCAAAATTGATTTTACTATCAATTACTGTCGAATATACATACAGGTTTGTCACTGAGAGGTTTGATTGTGTTTATTGATAGAAAAGACCCCTCCCAATAATAGCATATGTACAACAGAAGTTAACTGAGAAACGTTTTGTTTGAGATATATAGATATGTACATATTTGAAAACATTCTGATTTGCAGTAAATGAGACACCTGCATTGCCATGTAAGATACGATTAATACCAATCAGTGTTCTAATTTTAACAATACTTTCTAAAGATTGTAACAGTTTGTGTTTTGAGTAGTATACAATGGACATTCAAGGAAGTAATAAAAAACATTCTCACATCCAGGGTCACATTCACATGATGCGTCATACAACAGTGTCGCAATTTCTAATAGCTAAGTTAATGTTTTCAATATGATGATGCCGACTCCCGTTAGAAAAGAAGGTTAAACCGAAATGTTTATTAAAATAAACAGTGTTTATATTGCAGCAATAAAAATTCAAATTACTGTCTTTTCGTCCATCTTTTAAAATAAATAAATAAGCTTCAGATAGTTCCTGTGTTTTTATTTGGACTATTCCATAATAATGTGTAGGTAACAGGTAGTAGATAATCTGTTCACTGAACCGTAAATGTTGTTGTTTTAAGGTGTCTGCCAACTGGCTGTCTGCGTAATGGGAGGACACCGGCGAACAAGCCTAGTAGTGGCTTATATAATACTGCGCCAGTACATTGTTCCAATAGCTGGATACATTAATAGGAATAATCTGACAACAAAAGACTAATACTGAGACAAAATAACAGATATATCTTTGAATAAGAATATGTGCGTTATGGGGTTGGTTATGCCTAGCAACGAAATGAGCTGCCGCAGGAAATAAAGTTATATTAAACTTGTCTTACATATAATATATATGTAGAGGTGATAATCACTGGAAGAGGTTACTTTTAGAAATGAACTGGTGTTATGAGTTGAGAATGTCACTATTTGTTGAGTTATTCAATGCGCCATTACCATATAAAGTAGTTTTCCTTGAATATAAAAATACACAGTTGTTCTTAAATTTTGATGGTTCCGATATCTAAAAAGGTAGTGAATAACGTATAATGACCACATGAACACATAGATGTTTACGATATATGTCAATTACATCTGCCTGCGTTTAGATCACTACAGCCGAGCTTGAGGCGACAATGGACGATTTGACAAAATCTAGTTCCAACATTCAAATCAAAGTAATTGTGAGTTTCTGTTGTGTTTATCATGGTTTTAAATTGATTCAGGGAAATAGCGTTAACAGCTCCATCGGGCAATAAATTCCAAGACATAATCGTGCTTGGTAAAAATGATTGAGAATATCTTTGCATTCTACAGTTAATAGTTTGAATGGAAGTTGGAGGGATTATGTCTAATTTTCAAGACAAACAACATGAAATATAAGTTTTCAAAGTTTACATCTGAGTATATCTCCAAATATCAAAACAAACAATAAATGTTCACAAGATCCCCGATTCACTTGGCTTCCAATCATTATAGGTTGGCCCTGGGAGTCTCCCTTATAGGTTTATTTCAAAGAGTAGACAAACTGGGAGTAATCAGCTATACAGGTACAGTACATTATTAAGTGTAGGGGTGATCCATTATATGTTTATGTTCATGAGTAGACAAACTGGGAATAGTCATAATGGGAAGATACCACCCACAACTGGGTGTTTGCACGTATTCATGTGGCCACTATCTGGTCATATACCAACGGATTCATGGGTTCTTTTAAGTGCACAGGGTTGTGTACTGTACACTAGGGGTTGTGACAACACGGAAAGAATCTGCACACAAAGTTCTCTCCAAAGTTTTTTACACCTGGTCACATGTGGGCTTGATCCCGACACCTCAACCTCGCTGGATCACTAGCCTGGCGCCTTAGCCAGCTCGCCCACCACGGCCCAGTTGTTGACATTAACCATGTAAACGACTTGTTTACATGGTTTGTGGTTTAGTCTGACACTCTGACTGCAAATCTCAACAAGACTCTCAATATCAGAATCACTTGTTTCCTAATTAAATAAACCATTTGAGACATGATTTGCAGGTTATACCTCTTTGATTGATATTGCAGTGTTAACCATGTTAACATAATGAAGTTGATGAAACCAGTTTTGATGCTGGCTTGTAACTTTCAAGATCAGCTCGCTGTTACTGGCCCTCCCCTAGCCAGAAACACTTTGAAATCAGTGTGTGGAAGAAAATGTTTACTAGTATTCTTGAGACAAATGGCAGTTGGACAGAAGTGTATGATGCACAGTTATGACCAGAATTCTTGCAGGTTAGCCTAAACATTCCAAGTTTAAAACCTCTCTTGGAGCATAACATATTTTTTAGGCTTTTACAGAAATTTTATGCTATTTCACTTTTCCTTTTCGCCAAAGATTCTTGAATGATGACTCATTCATCATCATATATCCCAACACAAGCTGAATTCGACGTTCTGGTGATTTCAATGATTGCATTGCTCTCGCTATATCGGGTGAGTACGTGTGCAATCTGTGTGCACAAACAGTTTCACTGGCAGGGCGGGTGCCCAGTCGCTGTCATAAGCAGTTTTATTGACAATGGAAATCGGGAAGTAAAGTTATATAAAAAGCAAACAAACATCAATCGAGATCGTTAATACCACTTACGATGCAAAATCAATTGCCTTTATAACAAAAAATAGCAAGTGAAAATTCAGTAAGATCAGTCGTCTGCTGGTGACAGGCAATATATAAATAGGAAGCCACGTGATCACAACACTCCCTCGCAGTGCGGAGCAAAACGTGTGGCTCATCGTCGAAAACCCATACAAAATACCCGGATGTTACGAGCGGCAACAGTTTCGCCGATACGATGTCATCAACGCTATTTTTGTAGGAAACACTTGATATTTTTGTGTGAAATAGATGAATATCCTTTATCAGTCGAGGTTAGTAAAATTAAAACTTTAAATGATATTACAGATAAAAATTACGTTTTTGTCTTACATCGTCGAAAACCCCTGACACCGGGATATAAACTGACATTTGTCCATTTTCTTAACACATCTATGAAATATACAATGCCATTAACACATCTAGTGTACAATTTTCAGGAATTTTAAAGCGGATCGTACCACGACCTTACTAAAGATTTGTAAGAAAACAAAGTGTATCGTTGAAGCCGTAGCTAAAATACATACTAATTTCTCTTTGACTGTTAGTGCTGTGTCAATATGTGCTTTCGGTATCCGGTCTACGTTTACATATTTTGGGATGAATTAAATGTGCATGATATCTGACAGTACATGAGGAGAAAGCATGCCTATATTGAAGAACTGCCATTTTGTTTTTCTTGTTTCCTTGTGAAATATACACAGATGCATCTATGAAGCTGGACAGTCTGCTTACATCGTATGATAATTAGGTTAAGTCAGAGACGCGACTCACTTGTTCAGAAAAGATGTGGCGACTTTGCAAGGCATTATTTCTCATTAGGATAAACACTTCAGTGAGACTTCTTGTCGCCATTATGGCAGAAGACCCGGGAATCCGGTGGTCTTCACTAATCAAAACAACCAGATGACTCAAAACGATAAACGTGTTGTCGGTTCCATTATGTCATTTCTTAATGCCAGAAGGGACCTGAAGATACCGTTCCTTTTCCGGTTTGGTCGCTTACACCGTTAGCTGAGTTCCCAACAGCGAAATATTGTAGCACGCACTGCTATGGAGTTTAGAGTTTGCGCTTGTTATGTGGGTCAGGGCCTAGATTTTCGAAGCTCTCTTAGCGCTAAGATAGTTGTAAGTGCCATACATAGAGAATACTACACGAGGTCTCATTACATACGAATTATACGAAACGAGTGTCCTTCCTATGGTATCTGACCGAGCGAAAGCGAGGTCAGATAACATAGGAAGGTCACGAGTAATGAGACAGAGTGTGATATTTTATTTATTACCCACGTCTTACATGCATTTAAATTGACAAAATAGCCTTATTTTTGTTATGTTTTTGGTTTCAAACCGAAACCGGTTTCATAAAGAGGTTGCGGAAGAGTTTTGTACTGTAGTACAATATTTGCATGACGTCACACTAATGACGTCACTGCCATGGTAACCGACGTCACGATGCATGTCAGTTGTCATCGCCTCGTACAGCCTCCTACAGTAAACTACTCCGTTGCACCTCGTTTCTTGGTTTCCAGTTGCTTCATTCGGCTAACATCACTGGTGGAAACATTGCGTTTATGTTTTTCGACGGATATAATGTCTCAGTTCGACTCACAATTAAACAGCGACACGGCAACGTTCGCAATGTTTACATTCCCACAATGCATTTAAGTTGTAGAATGAATGAATTCACGTGTTTGTTATGAATGAAAAAATAGTTACGTCAGAATGTGACCTAATTGATAGGTCATCGGTTATCCAATCAAATCGTTAGAATTTCAGGTCAAGTCGTTACGACACAGGTCTACGCGATACGACACTCGTGTGACGTACGGGATTAACGGGGATAAGGGAGCATAACTCCGTTATGCTTAATACTAGGTCAATGTAACTCAGTTCACATGGAGAGAATTTGTTGTGGACACGGACGCTATATTTTCGTTATTTTTTGTTCACGGTGAACCAAACTATTCCAATTCAAAGTTCCCCAATGTGAGCGGATACGCTTTGGTAGTTTCACAGTTTATAAGAAAAGATGACAACGTACTACATGTGAAAGCACGTAATAGCGATTTGAATGGCCCTATCCGATATATAAGTTAGTTCTTAGATTCCCATATTCTCCTGTTTGTGTAGATGTATTTTGACTAATTGTGCATCGTTATTACCAGAATACTAGCCATATCTTCGAATGTAATGAAATTGCTGAAAATAATACAACATTTTAGTTGACGTCATTGCTTGTTTTATGCATTTTGCGACGTCGGAAAAGGACGACATTGGTATGCTGATTAGTATATATCTCACCTAATTTCCATTTACTGTGTGAAAGGACTCGGCTTCTTTGTCAGAATTAACACTCTTTAGACATAACATAAAATGACTGGTTTTTCCAATGAAATAGTGTCCTGAATATATCAACAATTAGACAGTTTGACTGTGTATCTTATCATGAGCAACACGCGCACCTGTTTGGCATCAATTTAACGAAAATGAAAAATAACATTTCACAACACCCGAATATTTTGTTTAGGATAAGAATTTTCTTTATTTATGACTATGTAGCTATTTCTCTTCATAAGTATGCAATGGAAGATGCAAAAAGATAGCTTTTTATATATGGAACTAGTACGTACTAAATATTAGAATATGGATGTAAGATTTGTCCAAATTAATTAAGACATGACATGGTATATATATTTTTAAACAATTTTCGTATAAATATAGTTAGAGTTTGATATCCTGTCATCACAATATTTTTAAATCGAATATGAATTGATTATATATATCGAAAACAATGATAGTGAATCATAAAACGTTTCCGACAAACGCGCACCTGGCCAATCAATATACATCATTGTTTCTCTAAAAAGCGACACAAGAATGTGTAATGAACAACACAATTCCTTTAAATGTGTGTGCATATACATTTCATATACATACATAAATCATTTTCATTAATTATTATCAGTTTTACATATAAGGTTTAATCAAATCGCCGTTCATTAACCTGCTCATGTGAAACTGCAATATTAGTTCAAATGCAATGAATATTGTACATCATAGGAACTAAAGTTGGAATTGCAGTTATGGATACGTTTGATCTTCTAACACTTGAGTAAAGGTTTAGAATATGGTGTACTGCACTAAATGTGTCAATTTCTTATTATGATTCAAACAATCAAAAACTTTCAAAGAATAAAACACCGTAAATCCTATATGCACGTATGATATGATATTGGACAAGGCTAAATGTAGATACTGAGGTCAGTTTCATAAAAAAGTATCTGAACTATCCGCAAAATATACATCATAATACTGACAGTGTAATCGGAAGGATTGGGCGATTGTGTTTACTCTTGTTCAACCGACCTTCACCTCAAAGAAATTGCCTAATATGTACAACAATGTTGACGTATGACATCACTATCGTTGACCTATTTCTTACAAAATGGCGGCTTTGCTGTCAAGGATACACAGGATTTTGCGAGGACCCTTCCATTGATTCAGGGATCGTTTGTACATAAATGTGACATGTAAGTAATCAGAATGATTCTGACTATCTGTGCATTGTTATATGTTTTTATCGTTTTCACCGTAAGTAAGAGAAGAAGCCAGAAATGCTGATAATTACAGTTGTCGTTCTGCGTGATTTTGCGTCAGTCATGGCGTCACGCTGCACGGAAACTTTGACAATTTCTTATGAATTATCAAATCATTGCATTATATCTATTTATAATTTCCTATTTCTTACTACCATACTCTTTCCATGTATATTCCAAAGGTATTGAGCCATTGCAAGCTATGAATAGACGGATGAATGTTGAAAAATTTCAGAAAATGCTACGCAGTGTAAAATCGGAATTTGTCCTTGTTTACATTTCGAACCAGCGCAGTCTTTCGAGCACAGCGTTCGTTTTCACACCCCAATATGTTTCGTCTCATTTTATCTGGACAGTTGGTATTGGTGACAAAGACCAGTTGCAATTTGATTTTAAAATGTATGGGGAATTCAGTGATGCATTTTTTCGAAGCTGAATATGAAATATACGTGATGTAATAGACGTCTCAACACCGGCCTTCGCGAAACGTGATTTTGTAAACACTATCCAATATGGCGGAAAGCGCTATACGGCGTTCGTGCAAGTGCATTTTCGAAAACATCCCAACCGATTCTAGATTCATCGGCAACGTTTCAGAATTATAATTAGCGATTTCATGTAAAACTGATATCAGTGATCATGAATATGTTATTTTTGAAATTCAATACTCCCAGTAATTATCCTATTTTCACATTTCAAAATATACAGCAAATAACGCTGTGAATCGCGATTTCGTACTGTGTCAAAAATGGACAGGGGTTAAAATATGCAACTACCCATGCGTTGACCACGTGGGTAATAAATTACATTTAACTTACGAAGTAGCGCTAAGAGAGCTTCGAAAATCTAGGCCCTGGTGTAGTAAATGAAAGATGATATCAAACTTATCTGATACAGATCATCAAACAATTATAAAATATTATTGCTGAACGGAACTAATGTTGGACAGATTGTTTTAATGAATAACCTAGGCAAACGAAATACTTTGATTGGACCTTTGATATATTCCGTAATTGTGTGCATCCATTTTAATATCTATAATCCAAGCCTTTTGCCCAGGTAGAAAATAAAGACAGTGTCTATAATATAGGTAAGTCCATGATATGTATATTTTATCCATACTTTCAATGTAAAAACTCTACATTCCCCGAGTTAACAACTGAAGTGCAACTTGTAACAATGAGTCAACTTTGTTCATTAGACTTATCTTTTCTTGTAAATGTGTTTTCTCTCTCACAGTATCCAGTAAAAGAATGTATCACAGCAGTCTCGTAACACTCTAATACAGGCATGTTGATTGTGCCCCTAAGTGTACAACCCGTGAAAATCCGGTTTAGAATTTGTCTTGAGTGAGTGAGTTAGTTTTACATCACTTTTAAGATAAGATAATAATTCTTTATTGCCCGCGAGAGAATTTGTCTCACATTTGAATGAGCATAAATACATATATATCAAACAAATGCATAAAAACATGATCATAATTACGTACAAATGTACAAAAGCATGTGAAGGGAGAACATTAGTGGCTATTCAACACAAAGAAATGTGTAATGGTACAAACATATTCCTGCAACATCATGGCTTGGCACACCAGAAATGGGCTTCACACATTATACCCATGTGGAGAATCGAACCTGGTACTTCGGCGTGACGAGCGAATGCTTTAACCACTAGCCTACCCCACCTGGTCTTCAGTAGTGAGTGAGGATTGTTTTACACAGCTTTTTATAGCAATATGCCAGCAATATCACGGCGAGGAACATCAGAAATGGGTTTCACACATTGACCTCTTGTGGGGAATCGAACCCGGGTTTTCAGAGCGGAGATTTTAACTTCTAGGCTACCGCCACGGCCGGTTTTGTCATAAGAGGCAACGAACGGGATCGGGTGATCACTCTCGCTGAATTGGTTGACACATGTCATCGCATCCCAACAGATCGATGCTCATGTTCTTGACCACTGGATTGTCTGGCCCAGACTCGATTATTTACAGACCTCCGGCATATATGCTGGAATATTCAAAATTGCTGAGTGCGACGTTAAACAACAACCAAACCAATCTTATGTGTAAAGTAAAGAGCCTACAGTCACTTGTTAACCTACACATTGCGGGGCAATATAGTGATGCAGGTCTCAGAGAGAGGTCAGAGTTGCAGTAGGCATTATTCTACCGACCAGTGAAGATCCGGTTTAGAATTGGTCGTCATCCACCCATCCTTGTCGGTATCGGGTGGTCAGACTTGCTCACTTGGATGATACATGTCATCGTATCCGAATTGCGTGGATTGATGCTGATGCTGTTCTCGTCCAGACTCCACAGGTCGGTTTCAAATACACGTCTTCTTGGGCATTTTACATAGTTTTCAACGCCGTATGTACGGACACACGCATGCATATATAT